TTAGATTTTGGGTTAAAAGCATTGTCAAAAAAAACTTAATTTATTTTTCAAACCTTGACAATCTGGTCAAAGTTGACCTAGCCCCAGAAGTCATTTTACTCTGTGTTATAAAGAAAAGGCTTTGAAAACTTTCTTCTCCATAAATAAATGCTTTGATATTTAAGTGTGAAACATTCATTCTATGACCATATCAATTTATGTCACGATATAAATCATATAATAGAAATAATACACAACTTCTAAGCTTGGTAAAGTCATGATCCGTTTGATTATAATTACCTTTCCCAAGGGTCAATTGATTTACATAGTCTAACTTATATATAAAATCCTTTATAAAAACATCCCTTTAACCCCATTGTTTAGAGCATGTGAAACAATTTCTAGAAGACTTTTACCATGTTTCTTCAAATCATGAAAGGGCCGGGTCTGGGTTATACGCCAATTTCAACACTTCTTTGTTGATAGCTTGAAGGTTGTTTAAACTATCTGACTTTCATGGATAATAACCAGAAGAGTAATGACCAATTTCTACTAAGCTACGGTACTAACATTTTTGACAGACAAATGACCGTAAAACTCAATGTCCGAGATCAATTGTTGTCTGTGGAACAAAAGACGCCTGGATTTCACATCCGACACTCTCCGTAAAGTGCTAAGTTTGCAAGCATCAAATAATGATCATGAGTCTGGATTAAAACAAGAGCCGGTTGAACCAGATGATGCTCCCCGACTAGGTTTTGGACACACGCCCAGCGACTATATGCTCCCCCATAATTTTTCGGGGAGCATAAAAATGACCCTGCCTAGATGTCGATTTTTATATAAAAAACTCTTTATGTCAGAAACAACAATGCAAGACCATTTGGTTGGAAGAACAGTCTTCCTCTTTGATTGTTCAAATCATGGCCCACTGGTATAAGGTTACCTAGATTTTAAGATTTCGTGACTTACTTTCTTGTTTTTTAAGCTAAAGAAATTTGGATAACAGACACAATATGACATGCCAGCTGGCCTTGATCTGTTCTATTGATCTCTTTGTATTTTGATTGTAAAACTTCAGATGCAAAATTATACACTAAGATCAGTTGACCTAGAATTTTATCTAATGCAAGTTAGAATTTCATAATACAAGCTACAACCAAAAAGTTTGAACTCAACAATAAATTGGATTGTCATTAAAATTTGATATTGGTTGACCTAGAATTTGAACCAGTGACCTATTTATTTCTCGTTTTAGCTGCAAAGTCTTAAATGTTTACCCTATGTACAGTTTCAAACATTTGATAATGTTTATATACATTTCTACCCTAAGACTGCCTTTTACTTATTATTATCACCATTAATTATCCTTTCCAAACATAACAACATTCACATTTGACATTACCTAGCTTTTTCTATGTATAGCAGTTTGACAAAAGCAAATGCATGATGCAAATTCTTGAAATAAATTTATTCATCTAATTTCAAAATATCGGCTGTTATCTGTGTTGATAATTTGCTAGAATTAAATGTGACTTCTTTTAATGTTACATTTTTCCCCCAATTTGTTACCATGTCATTGTGCACATATTTTTATCTATAAGTTTGTGTCATTCTTAACAACATGCTTAAAATGCTAAAAATTGAAAGTACCATACGTTTCAGGTGTGTCTTTCATTTTACTTCTCCGTTGCCATGGCAACAGAACATGTTGAATATTCATAAAAAAATATCAGTCTAAGTTTCTTAATTATTTATAACTTTAGGTACATGCCAAAGTGCAATACATGCTGACTATTCATAGTTTTAATTATCATAACAAACCAGTTAACAAAATACTGAGACTTAGTTTTCGTTACCCCACCCACTTTAAGAATATCAGAATCCACATTCTTTTACAATAAAGATAAAAAATAAGAATGATATTAGTATGATCTTGTTCAAGTCTTTGTTGTATATGGTAAAAATATTCATTTACACTGCTATGCCTTAGCTGGTAGGAAAAAATGTCAGCCCCATATCAATTTTTGTTAATTTTTTTCATGCATTTTTTAGCAAATTTATCTATGAAATTCAGAGAATATAAAAAAATAATGGAAATGCCTCCATTTTCATATTCTTCTAATAGGATGTGAAGTTTTAACATCACCTGTACCAAAATAAATACAAAAAAGAACTAATTTTATCATATAAATTGCGTATTAGCCATTTTTCAATAATTTGGCGGCCATCTTGGCGGCCATCTTGGATTTCTCAAAACGTACCATGATTTGACATGTCTACCCAAAATTTTTGTAAACTTCAAACATTTAGCTTTACATTGGTATAACATTTATCCATGGACCTTTTTTGCACACAAAAGGTCCTCAGGGACTGTACTAAGGTAAGTCTTGTCTAATTTTAAAATTTTATTTCGTTCAAACAAATAAATTTTCGTCTAAAATGAGATTTCAACGTAGAAAAATAGAAATAAACAAGTTTAACACAAAGGATACACATGTACCTATTAATTTAACAAGTTACCTTCTACAGTTTTAAAACTGCATTACTGAAATTGTCACCAGTTTCCACCGATTTGTTATAAAATTTTCTGAATGTTGAAGCATTAGTCCAACCAGCTGTTTGTAGAATGTTTTGAACTGGAATCCCTGATATGTATGCTTTTGAAGATGAAGCTGCTCTGATAGTGTGTGGACCATATATCTGTATGTTTATTCCTGACCTAACCAAAACTGTCTTTATCCAACGAGAAATTGTGTCCTTACTCACAGCATTATGTGGTTTTGAATAACTTATGAACAACTTGGTTTCAGTTTTCCCTCGAAACTGTCTGGTACGTTTTAAATATTCTTTTAACACAAAATATGTACACAAACGCCTATTTGGCGGATATGAGGAAAATTTACAACAGACAACATTATATCCTGGCCTACTCTGCTTGAGAAGCCCATCAACATAAACAATAAATTCTGTCTTTAACTTCTGAATACCTTTCACAGTTAATAAATGAAGTGTTTGTACTCTAGTTGCATTCGTAAGACCCATCAGCATTACTAATTTCAATGTTAAATCCTTTAAAGTTAACTGACTAACTGGACTCAAAGTCCTTAAATATATCAAGACTTTATTTACATCCCATATTTTGGAATACTTTGGTTTCATAGGTCTCAAATTAAAAATTCCATGTAAAAAACGCACAACTTCAGGATGGTTCCCAATAGAAATATTTTCCCATTTTACTCCTAGAGATGATAATGTTGAACGAGCAGAGTTTATAGAACTATAACTCAAACCTTTTTCAAATAATTCTGTTAAAAATTCAATAACACTATTTATAGACGGTTGAATCTCACTAATTTTCCATTTATTACAGAACTGAAGCCAACTGTTGATATATACTTTGTACTGCTGCTTGGTCGACACTCTCCACGATGCAAGAAATATTGCTGTAGCCTTTTTTGAAAAACCTTGGTTTCTAAATGATTTCCCCGAGACTCGACATGCCAAAAGTTTTAACCTTTTTCCCATAGGGTGCACTTTGTTGAGCTGTTTCAATTGAAGGAGTGTCTCGCTTCTTGGGAGCAATCGTGGATTGTCCACCAAAATTCTCAGCAGTGCTGGAAACCAGACTTGTGTCTTCCATAGTGGTACAATAATTATAGCTTGTGCCTGGTCTGTCAGGATTTTGCGAATGCAATGGTTTAATAAACTGAAAGGAGAAAATATATACACACATCTATAAAAACTCCAGTTTATACTAAAAGCATCAATGTATGCTGCCCCAGGGTCTGGTTCAAATGCACAATAATGAGTCACTTTATGATTTAATCTAGACGCAAAACGGTCAATATCTGGTTTACCCCATAAATTACAAATTTTTTCAAAAATATCCTGTTGCAATTCCCACTCAATATTATCATTGAATTTTCTTGAAGGTGCATCTGCGACATTTCTTTTGCCTGCAATGTGACAACAAGTAAGCCATATGTTATTATCAACACAAACTTTCCATATACTTTTGCTCATGTCGTTGCAAGTAACAGATTTGCAACCCCCCATATTAGTTACATAGCACACTGCTGTAGTGGAATCAGTCAAAATCTTAACATGTTTATCTGCTAATTTACTACACAAAGACTTTATAGCAAAGAAAATTGCTTTCATTTCTAAATAATTTATATGAAACTGTTTTTCCTCTCTAGTCCAACGGCCATGACCTTTTTTTCCTTCACAAACAAATGCCCAGCCTAAATGAGAACTGTCAGTTATAATTACAATTTCAGGATTTCCCCTGTCAATAACTCTATATGCTAAGCCAACAGTGTTAACCCACCATAAAAGTTCCTCTTTCATGCAAGCAGAAATTTGCATATTTTTATCAAAATTTCCACAATTATGTTTTAAAGCAGCAGACTTAGCCATTTCCAGATTTCTATAATGCAATTTGCCAAAATCAACAGCAGAAAAAGCTGCAACCAACAGACCTAAAACCTGAGCGACCTGTCGAATAGTTGCAACGGTTTGATTTAACAAATCTGTGCACTTTTCAATTATGAAGTCTTTTTTGTTATCAGGTAAATAAACTTTCATTAGTTCAGAATCTATGACAAAATCCAAATGTGTCATCTTTGTGGTAGGAACCATAACCGATTTTTCTTTATTTATGAGAAAACCCAAGTCAGTCATTAATTTGACAGTTTCATTTACATTAGATTGACATTCTTGAACAGTGTGGCCACCAAGAAAACTGTCATCGATAAACCCACTACTGATATGATCTTTATTTCTAAGCGTATAATACACAGGTTTAAGTAATTTTGTAAATATTAATGGTCCATGAGCAAGACCATTGGGCATGGCAACAAACTGAAAAATTTTGTTTTTCCAACTGAATCTCAAATAGATCTGATGCTCATCAGCAATTTTAATAGAGTAATAAGCATGTCTTAAATCAACTGAACACATATACATATTTTTTGTCACTAGTTTAAAGTGGATTCAAATGTATCCATTTTGAAATGATGATATGGCAGGTATTCATTAAATTTCTTAAGGTTTAATATTAGTCGATATTCTCCATTTTTCTTTTCCCTTAAAAATATGGGAGACAAAAACTGACCCTCAACATATGTAACCTGTTTAATTACCTGCATTTCTAACAATTTTTCAATCTCAAACTCAACAATCTTTTCTTGTTCCCTATTAAATTTAATCTGATGCATAAGCCTGTCTTGGCAAGGAATAATACCACCTAGAAATTTTATATGACAATGCTTAACAATATCTAAAATTTCAGGATCACTCGTAATATTTTTCCAAGCAGAAACAAAATTTGTCAATCTACCAGCAACAAACAAATCTCTTACCTGTGATATATCTAAGTTCTTGGATAACCGCGCTGGCGGCCTCTGTTCCAGTTTTTTGGAGCTCCTTTTTCAAAAGACTCTTGAATCTGCCCAATGCGAGGATAAGGACCCCTGCGGGGCCCCCTAAATCCAAATCAACTTCTAAACATGACACGTCCTCTAGCACGAAAAGAAGGACCATACTGCATGCGATTTCCCATCTTGTTACAATCCTCAATATCTTTTGCAGCTTTAGATACATCGTCACCAAATAATTCCGACGTAAATGGATAAGAATGGTTACATAAGTTCGCATAATCTGCTTTCAGTTCAGGACGCAAAAAATCTCTTCTTGCATGGTTTAACTGAACATTAGCTTGACCAAGCAAAGCTAAAGCATCATTACATGTGTCAAGTATGGTACCAAAACTCTGACCTTTTTCAGATTCCAAATGTGCCAGCTCATTCATCGATTTTGTCAAATTTACTCCGGCCTTGACAATAGACTTCTCAATATTTTGTAATTTCTTGTCATTATTCCGAGATCTTGGAGGGACCACGTCCCAAATCAGCTTATTTAATTTGACAACAACTAATCCTTCACAATTTTTTGGCCGAGCACAAACATCATCTTTAGTCATATTCTCATAGACAATATCACCCAAACCATTCCTGAACAAATTATTCACATTTCCAGCCAGAGCGTTATCTACATCATCACTCACAACCTCCTCCGAAACAAACTTAGAAGCAAGTTTATCAAATCTACTGGCAGTGGCCGAGTTATTTGTCGAAACAGACTCCGATGCTTTATCACTAGTCTCACTAGATTTATTTACAGTTTTTTCTGTGTAACAGCTGTCCAATGGACTATGATAGCTCATGTCCAGGTTACTATATTGAGTGTATTGTTCAGAACTATCTTGCATTTCATCACCTTCATAATTCTCATTGTAGTAATCACAATACTGATCATTACTAGTATCTTCTAGATTATGAACACGACCATCCAACAAATCTAAATGATTGACTAAAGAATTTTGATCATTTCTAATTGATCTTAGTAAATCCATCATACACTCCTGATTATTATTTATTTCAATCATTTTCTGTGATTTTTCATTTGAACTCTCGCACTCGGGTTCATTACTCTGTTTTTTAGACGATTTTATTCGAGTTTTCCCATTTTGGCTCGACTTTCCCTTTTCATCATTTTTTGTTCTTTTGTCTTTCTCTGACTCTTTTTGCATGTCTTGCGACAAAGTCGCCATTTTTTTATATCACAATCTAATTTAAACTGTTATACACTGAATAGCAATACCCCACCACCCTACGGGCGGTGCACAATTTGGTTATAAAAACAACTTTATATCAATTGTCACTCGTAAATCTACGCCACGCGTAATAGAAAAAAACCTTCTTTAAACTTATTACAAAGTTAACAATACGCTATGCGCATTGAAATTCTAAACTATAGCATTTAATTGCGCTACGCACAACTACAAAAATGTGTTATCGCCGAGGCAGACAGAAGCACACTGAGGCGCATGCGTGGCGGAAGTTATCTCATTTTAGACGAAAATTTATTTGTTTGAACGAAATAAAATTATCCCCCCTTCCCACATGATTATCACACAGGATAAATTTACTATAAGCTGGTTTAATTATCGCCCCTTCCCACATGATTATCACACTCGATAAATTTACTATAAGCTGGTTTAATTATCGTCTTTTCCCACGTGATTATCACACAGGATAAATTTACTATAAGCTGGTTTAATTATCGCCCCTTCCCACATGATTATCACACACTATAAATTTACTATAAGCTGGTTTAATTATCGTCTTTTCCCACATGATTATCACACAGGATAAATTTACTATAAGCTGGTTTAATTATCTCCCTTTCCCACATGATTATCACACAGGATAAATTTTTACTATAAGCTGGTTTAATTATCGCCCCTTCCCACATGATTATCACACATGATAAATTTACTGTAAGCTGGTTTAATTATCTCCCTTTCCCACATGATTATCACACAGGATAAATTTACTATAAGCTGGTTTAATTATCCTCCTTTCCCACCTGATTATCACACAGGATAAATTTACTATAAGCTGGTTTAATTATCTCCCTTTCCCACATGATTATCACACAGGATAGATTTACTATAAGCTGGTTTAATTATTGCCCTCTCCCACATGATTATCACAAAGGATAATTTACTATAAGCTGGTTTTGCAATATATGGGGTCTCAAGATTAATGTTGAAAAAACTAGAACTATCGCTGAATGCGATTCATACCCCCACCAATGTCCTTGACAGAAGAGGACTTGGAAAGGTGGTTAAGGCAATAACTTGTGTGGCACAAATACATAAAAAGAAATTATCTCTGGTGAAAAAAAGACTAATAGTACAGGTAATAGTATAAATATATTATCAAATCATGTTCGAAACAGTTACAAAAAACCTTTCTTTTTCCCTATGTACTAAACATTTTATTTTTAAGTCAATTTTTGACCTTCAAGTGTGGCCTTGACCTTAATCTGGCACACGGGTAACCTTGGTTTTGCACATCGCCCAGTTGGGGTGAACATTTGAGTAAAGTTTGAAGAAAATCCTTCCATTAGTATAGAATTTATAGAGCGACACAAAATATTGTCTAGTATTGATTGTATGTAAATTTGAAGACTTAAAAAGGGGCATAACTTTGTCAAAATGCAATACAGAGTAATGAAACTTGACCTGCATATCTTATTTGCGACATCTCATATATCTTAAAGTTTCAAGCAAATACCTGTGCTTAGTAGTTTAAGAATTATTCAAGTACATGTTAAAATTTAAGAATATTTTCTAAGTCAATTATTGACCTTCAAGTGTGACCTTGACCTTTAGAAGGCACAAAGGTGACATGGATTCTGCACATAACCTTGTTGAGGTGAACATTTGAGTAAAGTTTGAAGAAAATTCTTCCATTAGTATCGGATTTATAGAGCCGACACGACATATTGTCTTATATTTGATTGTATGTAAATTTGAAGACTTAAAAAGGGGCATAACTTTGTTAAAATGCAATACAGAATTATGAAACTTGACCAGCATATCTTAATTGTGACACTTCATATACATTTTAAGTTTCAAGCAAATACCTTTTCTAGATTCAGAAATATTCAAATAAATGTTAAAATTTAAGAATATTTTCTAAGTCAATTTTTGACCTTCAAGTGTGACCTTGACCTTAAGCCGACAAAAGGGTGACATGGGTTCTGCACATCCCCTTGTTGAGGTGAACATTTGAGCCAAGATTGAAGAAAATCTTTCAATTAGTGTAGGACTTACAGAGCGGACACGACATACAGTGTAATATTTGATTGTTTGATATTTGACCTTCAATTGTGACCTTGACCTTGAGCTGACACATGGGCAACATGGGTTCTGCACATCCTCTTGTTGAGGTGAACATTTGAGCCAAGATTGAAGAAAATCTTTCAATTAGTGTAGGACTTACAGAGCGGACACGACATACAGTGTAATATTTGATTGTTTGATATTTGACCTTCAATTGTGACCTTGACCTTGAGCTCACACATGGGTAACATCAGTTCTGCACATCCCCTTGTTGAGGTGAACATTTGAGCCAAGTTTGAAGAAAATCCTTCAATTAGTGTAGGACTTACAGAGCGGACACAACATACAGTGTAATATTTGATTGTTTGATATTTGACCTTCAATTGTGGCCTTGACCTTGAGCTGACACATGGGTAACCTCGGTTCTGCACATCCCCTTGTTAAGGCTAACATTTGAGCCAAGTTTTAAGAAAAACCTTCAATTAGTGTATGACTTACAGAGCGGACACAACATACTGTGTAATATTTGATTGTTTGATATTTGACCTTCAATTGTGACCTTGACCTTGAGCTGACACATGGGCAACATGGGTTCTGCACATCCTCTTGTTGAGGTGAACATTTGAGCCAAGTTTGAAGAAAATCTTTCAATTAGTGTAGGACTTACAGAGCGGACACGACATACTGTGTAATATTTGATTGTTTGATATTTGACCTTCAATTGTGACCTTGACCTTGAGCTGACACATGGGCAACATGGGTTCTGCACATCCTCTTGTTGAGGTGAACATTTGAGCCAAGTTTGAAGAAAATCCTTCAATTGGTATGGGAGTTATAGAGCGGACACGGAAATGGAGACGGACGGACGGACGGACCGACCGACGGACCGACCGACCGACGCGACAAAGCCGAATCCATTATAGCCCCCCCCCCATTTTAAATTTTTTTGCCCCCAAAAAATTTTTAATCAAATTTTTTTTAAAATTTTATCTTTTTAGTAAATCCTTTTAACAAAATTTCCTGATTAAAAAAAAAAATTTATTTAAATTTTCTTTTCGAAAAAATTTTTCATTTGAAATTTACCGAAAATTATTAAATTTTTTTTTTTTAAAATTTACTTTTAAAACCAAAAAAAAAAAAAAAAAAAAAAAAAAAAAAAAAAAAAAAAAAAAAAAAAAAAAAAAAAAAAAAAAAAAAAAAAAAAAAAAAAAAAAAAAAAAAAAAAAAAAAAAAAAAAAAAAAAAAAAAAAAAAAAAAAAAAAAAAAAAAAAAAAAAAAAAAAAAAAAATTTTTTTTTTTTTTTTTTTTTTTTTTTTTTTTTTTTTTTTTTTTTTTTTTTTTTTTTTTTTTTTTTTTTTTTTTTTTTTTTTTTTTTTTTTTTTTTTTTTTTTTTTTTTTTTTTTTTTTTTTTTTTTTTTTTTTTTTTTTTTTTTTTTTTTTTTTTTAACAGGTAAATTTTTTAATTTTTTAAATTTTGTTACTTTATTAAAAAAAATTTCTTAAGCTTTTAATTTTCCCTTTCCAAATTATCAAAAAAATTTAAAAAGGGTTTTTAATTTTTCCTTTCCACCTTTTCAACCGGATAAATTTTTTAAAAAAAAATTTAATTTTTTTTCCCAAATTTTCACAAAAATTTTTTAAAGGGGTTTAAACCCCCCAATATTATCAATTAAAAAAAGGGTTTTTTAATTATCTGTTTAAATTAAAAAATAATAAGCTGAACTTTCCCCCAAAAATTTTAAAAGGGAATTGAAATTTAAGGGAATAATTGTTGGAAAAAAAAAAAAAAAATTACCGGGAAAAAACCAAAAAAGGGGGGGAAAAAAATCTTTATTTTCGGAAATTAAAAAAATTTCCCTTTTTTTTATTTAAATTTAATTTTATTTTTGGGGCAATTTTTTTAAGTGTGCCCTTTTTTTTATTGGGAAGGGGAAATTGGTTTTTCCCGCCCGTTTGGGGTAAATTTTTTTAAAAATTTTAAAAAATTCCCCCCCTTTTGAATTTTTGGGGAAAAAAATTTTTGTTGTTTTATTAATTTGAAGCTTAAAAAAGGGGGTAATTTGCAAAATAATCAAAATGAAATTAAATTTATTTTAATTTAAATTTTAAATTAAGCCAATCCCGTGTTAGGTTTTTAAAAATTTTTGTCTGTAAATTTTTGAAAATTTTTTTTTTTTAATTAAATTTATTTAAGGACGGTGTGGTTTCAAAATTTTTGGTGAAAATTTTAAAGAAAAAGAAAATTCCCCTTTTTGTATAATTTTTAACCGGGCCCTTTTCCCTTTTTTTTTGTTGTAAATTTAAAAACAAAAGGGATCTTGTTAAAAAACAAAAAGAAATGTTACCCAAAAATTTTTTAAAATAAATTTTTTTTAAAAAAATTTTTATAGTTTAAAAAAAAAATTTGAAACCAAAAAATTTTTTTTTTAATGTCCTTTCCTTAAGCCAACAAAAGGGTACTGGGTTTTAAAGGAGGTGGGAAAATTAAGAAAATTTTTTAAAAAAGGGGGCTTTCAAGGGCCAATCAAAAATTTTAGGAATTGCCCAATTTTCCGTTGAGTCCTGGGAAATTTTTCCATTTTTTGAGGTAAATTTCAAAAATTAAAAAATCTTTTAAATTTGGGGTTACAGAGGGGCCTCGTTAAAATTTAGTTTTTATTTCCTTAAGGGACCTTACCAGCCCAAAAGGGCAATTCCCCCCCTTTTTGGGGGCTTGGGCCAAGTGAAGAAAAAAATTAATTTTTTAGGACTTAAAGCAAACCCCAAAATTTTAAAATTTTTAAATTTGATTAATTGCCCTTCTTGGCCCGGGAACCCTTTTAATCCCCTTTTTAAAAGGCCCGTTTAAGAAAAACCAAATGTAGGGTTTAAAAGGGGGAAAAAATTTGAAAATTTATTTTTTGTTTTGCCAATTTCCCCCGTTTACGAAATAAATGGGGGCTCACATTTTGGAGTGAAATTTAGCCCCCTTTTTTTGGAAAATTTTTTTTAATTTGGGAGGATTGGCCCGGACCAAATTTATTTTTTTTGTTTTAAAATTTTAAATAAATTTTCCTTAAATTTAAAAGTGAAATGGGTTTTTCCCTTTTTTGGGGGGTTTTTTGGGCCAATT